CGCAACTTCATTATATCTTCCCTTCGCCTAAAGGCGAGGGATTTTATATCCCCGAAGGGGACATTAATCGAACCCCGGTTAACTATCCACCTTGACTGCATTTAATGCTTTCCTAGCAATATCAAAGTCACTAAACGGGATTTTCCTATCCTTAATTATTTGATATTCCTCACCGGCTTTTCCAGCAATCAATAAAATATCATTGCTGTGTAGGTTATTTATAGTGTGAGTAATAGCCACTTCTCGATCTGCTATTTCCTCATAATTAGAATTATTATTACTTATACCTTGAATGATCTGTTGTCTTATTGAGCTTGAGGACTCATGTCTAGGATTTTCGTCAGTAATAATAATTTGATCTGCTATTTGGCTAGCGATTTGTCCCATTTGTGCTCTTTTGTTAGTATCTCTCTCCCCTCCACAACCAAATATAACTTTTAAAGAGCCAGAAGCTGCCTTTATGTGTTTGAGCTCTAACAAGGTTTTTTTTAATGCCTCTGGGGTATGAGCATAATCAATTACTACATGGTAGGGACTATTATCCTGGCTAGCTCTTTGTAATCTTCCTTGCACTGCTTTAATTTTTGGTAATTTTGATATTACTTCTAAAAACGGGAAGCCAGTCAAGTGTACCATCATCACTGCGATTAATAAATTAGAAGCTTGAAAACTTCCAATTATATTAGTATCAAAATTATAACATTGTTCTTTATAGGTGAAGCTGATATTTTGACCATCAATTGATTGTTTAGTCCCAGTAAGATCTAAATCTCCGCCTCGGCCGACAGTAAAAAATTGTATATTATGGGATTGTAAATAGTTGGTAATAAACCCTAATTGTTTAATTTCAGAATTAATTATAGCAATACCTAATGGTAATAAATTGTTCGTAAATAAACTTAATTTGGTCAAAAGATAAGAATCCATATTTTTATGGTAATCGAGATGATCTTGGCTAAAGCTAGTAAAGCACGCAGTTTGTACTTTGATCCCCTCTAATCTTTGCTGGTGAAGGCCGTGGCTAGAAGCTTCGAAGGCTATGTAATGAATATTATTCTTAGCAAGAATATGGAAAATTCGCCTAGTAGTTAAAAGATCTAGAGTAGTAAGACAGGGAGATTTATCTAAAATCTCTTGAATAATAGGGAGATTTATCGCTGAAGAACATTCAACGCCCATAGTGCCTATTGAACTACTACGCTGGCCTAGTAATGAATATAATTGCCTGCAATAAGATACTACCGCAGTTTTGCCGTTAGTACCGGTAGCGGCTACTCTATATTTAGGTAACAACGGATATAAAAGATTAATCGAATCTAGTAAAGCTAATCTAGAATCTTCTACTAGCGCTATATTCGCTTTATAAGTAGAAATATTTGGATTATTTAGAGCTGCAGGATTGTCGATAACAATAAATTTTACCCCTTTTTTTAGCGCAACATCAATAAAATCATTACCGTCTACGGTAATACCTTTTATAGCAAAAAAGATATCTCCCACCTGCGCTAGCCTGGAATCTGAAGCTAAACCAGTGATTGCTTTAGCTTCTATTGCCGAAATAAAATAATTAAA